GCCTCCCAAGTAGCTGGAACTGCAGGCACCTGCCACAACGCCCGGCTATTTTTTGGTTGCAGCCGTCGTTGCTTGGCGGGCCCAGGCTGCATTTGAACCCGCCACCTTAAGTGTATGTGGCTGGCACCTTAGCCACCTGAGCCACAGGTGCCGAGCCTCCATGTGAAGATTTTTATGAGAACATCCGTCTTCATTTCTCTGGGATAAATGTCAGTAGGGTAATTATTGTGTTGTGTGCTAGTGACATGTTTAGTTTCTTGGTTTTTTTTTTGTTTTTTTTTTTTTTTTTGTAGCAACAGAGTCTCACTTTATCACCCTTGGTAGAGTGCCCTGGCATCACATAGCTCACAGCAACCTCCAACTCCTTGGCTAAAGAGATTCTCTTGCCTCAGCCTCCTGAGCAGCTGGGACTACAGGCACCCGCCACAATGTCCAGCTATTTTTTGGTTGCAGTTTGGCCAGGGCCAGGTTTGAACCTGCCACCCTTGGTATATGGGGCCAGCACCCTACTCACTGAGCCACAGGCGCTGCCCACATGTTTAGTTTTTTAAGAAATCAGACAAGTAGATTGCTTGAGCTCACGAGTTCAAGATTCTGCCTCTACTAAAAATAGAAAAACTAGCCAGGCGTGGTGATTTGTGCCTGTAATCCCCCCCACAAGGGTGGCAGAGAACATGCTTCTCAGCCTGTTCCCAGGCCCCCTTCTTTCCCCTAGGGTTGCCAGGAACAGAACTGTAACCATTGTTACCCAAACTGACTATTGCTATCTGAACTGTAACCATTGCTACTGTAATCACTGCCATCCAAGCTGTAACCATTGATACCTAAACTGTAAACCCAAACTGTAACCCTGCCAATGGTGCCCTGCCAATGGCAACATTCCTTATATACAAAAAAGGGTATAAAAGCCAAAAAACCCTACATTTCGGGGCTGCTTGTATCAGGACAACAGCCCCCTGTGCAGGTGTGAATAAATCACCAATTTACATCAGAGTGGGTCCAAGTCTATTTTTCCAAGTCCTATAGGTCATTTCAATCCCAGATACTTGGGAGGGTGAGGCAAGAGGATCACTTAAGCCTAAGAAACTGAGGTTGCTGTGAGCTGCGATGATGCCACAGCACTCTACCCAGGGTGACAGAGTAAGACTCAGTCTCAAGGCTTGGCGCCTATGGCTCAAGCGGCTAAGGCGCCAGCCACATACACCTAAGGTGGCGGGTTCGAATCCAGCCCGGACCTGCCAAACAACAATAATGGCTGCAATCAAAAAATAGCCGGGCATTGTGGCGGGCGCCTGTGGTCCCAGCTACTTGGGAGGCTGAGGCAGGAGACTCACTTGAGCCCACGAGTTGGAGGTTGCTGTGAGCTGTGA